CAAAACAAAAATAACATTTATCTGAGATAATTAAGAATTTTTTTGATCATATAATCAAGATTTGGTGTCTTGAAGATTTTAGTTTGTGTGTCTCATACAGCCTGTTTAAAACGTGATTAAAAATAGTCCATCATAAGTTATATAGCTATATAAGACATAACTGAATATAAGGAGGACACATTGATTTATTTGTAGGATGATACAATTTCTTATAACTTCATCACAGGGTTAAATAAAATAACATTTTTAAACTTTTTTGAATTTCATTCATATAAGAAAAGAGTAAATCACAATACTTTACAAAGCCACAGAGATACATTAAAATATATATTATATTATATTATATTATATTATATAAAATCTTTATTTTAAATAAAAAACTAGAACCTCACCTATTTCCGTGGAAATACTGTGCATGCTTTTACTTTGACAGGACAAAAACAGGAAATGTCGCAAGAGCTTCTGGGTAAATAACAATTTTGCTGACAAAAAACAAGAAAAGCTAGTTCTCTGGTCAGTTTCAACGCTTTTGGTTGATATTTATGGTGTCTAATTTTCGCATACAGTAACTAAACATATGTGTGTTGCTTTTGTTTTAATCACTACCCTCGTTTCAAACGGAAGTAAAACCCCGACAATAGAACTACATCACCCATGATTCACCTCACTGAAAAGGTCAGCAAACGGGTCAAACTTGAAATTTAAACGAGTGCTGCCGTACAGTGAGGAAATTGTTTTTAAAAACTTTCGCTGTCTTGGACGTTTAATTTGTCGTAAATTTTGTGGTATCACGAGACTACCTTGTACTCATAAAATCGTTTTTTATTGAATTTCTGGAGTACAAAGTTGAGTATAGCAAGGATACTGCTCGTTGTCCGTTCACGTTGCTGTAAGCTAAGTTAGCGGCTAACAGCTGCAGAATGCTAAGGTTTTGTGATGAGTTTCACCTTTCTGCTGTAAACACCGATGTCCACATTTTGTCACGGAGACAGTAGAGTTATTGTTTACCTTGAAAAATAACTCAGAGGACTAAAACTGTGCTGAACAGAACCGGGCGGGGAGACCATGAGCCTCGCTCCGAAGGAACTGTCTAACCTGCTGAGCATCATCTCGGAGGAGGCCTGCTCCAACACCTTCGAGAGCCTTTCCACTCACTTCCATCACTACTTTGGCAAAGCGGAACACTTCAGGGTGGGCTCAGTTCTGGTCATGCTCCTCCAGCAGCCGGACCTGCTGCCCAGCTCCTCGCAGCGGCTCACCGCCCTCTACCTACTGTGGGAGATGTACCGAACCGAGCCGCTCGCCGCCAACCCGTTCGCAGCGGTCTTCGCCCACCTGCTAAACCCGGCGCCGGCCGGAGAGGAGCAGGAAAAGGCGCTGTCCGGTAGGTCCGGGGCGGATGGAAAACATTACAAACTGTAATTTACTAACAAATGTTTAGTTTAKACTTTTAGGTTTAATGTGGAAATTTTGTAAAAACCTCTATTTCAAACTAGTGTTTGTATCGCTGCACTGTTCAGGGAACAGGTTTGTGGAATTGTTTAGATACAGAAACCTCTAAAACAACCTGTCTTAGAAGATGATTAAGTTAAATTTATTGGGAAAGTGTAATGCCATAAAATGTTTTGTAGATAGGAGATATGAAGGATACCTGATGTTTTTGTTTTGCCTTTTTCAAATTTGGAGATTATTTAAGCCTAAATTGTTTGCAGTTATTTTTAATGTAAGGGGCAGACTGAAGAATTTTTCTTATTTCTGCTGCACCCTTTTCATTTAGTGTTTGGTTTACTTTTTTATTGCTTTTTTTCCTTTTAATGAATGAATTAAATAAAAAATAAATGAATTCAAATTTGGAGATTATTTAAGCCTAAATTGTTTGCAGTTATTTTTAATGTAAGGGGCAGACTGAAGAATTTTTCTTATTTCTGCTGCACCCTT